AAAGATTTAAAAATATGTGCAGGAGGACCCAAACAAAGGAGGGTCATAAAAGACATAAGTAACTGCAAATGTATACCTTATAAAAATATACCAAAATGCCATCTAACAAGTAATACAAATTAAAGCTACAAATCAGATACTATTTTCATCAATCACACAAAGGTCAAAATACGTGGTAAGGCATGGTGGCTCACACCTGTAAGCTCAGCACTTTGGGAGGCTGAGGTAGAAGGATCACTTGAGGCCAGGAGTTCAAGACCAGCCTGGGCAACATAGCAAGACCCTCTCTCCACGAAAAACTTGAAAAATAGCTGAGCATGGTGGCATGCCTATAGTCCTAGCTTCTGGAGAGGCTAAGGCAGGAGGATTGCTTGAGCCCAAGAGTTCCAGGCTATAGTGAACTACGACAGCACTACGGCACTCTAGCCTGGGCAACAAAGCAAGACCCTGTCTTAAACACACACACACACACACACACACACACACACACACACACACACGGTAATATTAAAAAAAGTGGTAATATACAGTATTAGTGGGGGGGAGGGTGTGCAACTTCTATACAAACCAGTGCAACTTCTTTGTGGGGTAATTTGGCTTTATCTTTCAAAGTTATAAATGTACACCCCTTGACCCAGCAATTCCACTTCTGAAAATTTATTCTACAGATATATGTTCAATCAAAAAGTATTTTCTACCCCCTAATATGTGTCAGGCACTGAAGATAAAGAGGTAGAGAAAACAACATCTCTGTTCTCATAGTGCTTCCATTCTCATAGAGGAGAAGACAGGAGTAAAGCAAGTCAACAGTAGGCATGCAATAATTATAATGCCGGGTAAGTGATAAGATAAACTGGGACAGGTCTGAGAAGGTCTGGGAAGCTGGTCTGGGAAGGTCTGAGAAGGTGACAGCACAGCAGAGCCTGAGTGAAGGAGAGAACAGAGCACAAGAATGTCTGGGGAAGGCAAGAGGGGGTTTAGGCAAGAGGGACGGAAGCCAAGGGATAACACAAATTTGGCCTTCCTCCCCTCTGTTTTGCTTTTTATTCCCCTAACAACCATTTGTTTATCCAAAAGATATAGGCACCACTGGAATTTCTCTGTCCCCGACACAAAAATAAAAATTAATTAGGTCATTTTAATACAGTACATCTTTCAAGGAAGGTGCCAGGCCAGCATTGCTTCCCCCCAAAATTATTGTACATAACAATTTGATTTTTTCAAAGCAAGAATTTTCCAACTTATTTAAGTGTTATGTCAAGCCTGGGGAAAGTGCATTAAAGCTAATTATGAGTTTTTACTGCAGATAAACCTTTTCAGAGTATAAGAGAACAGATTAATTTCACAAAAAGATATTGATCAGTTGCTAGATAATTTTACACACACAAAAAAACAAAACTGTCTGTCCCTGCCCTTTTGGCAGCATTGAGAACCATGTCTTAGAAGCACCTATAGATAAATTTCATGATCTTTTAAGCAATGAAGTTGAATTTATTTTCTTTAAGTGGCCATTAAGGGCATTCCAGTTGAGCCCAAAAGAAATGAAAATAACTCTGTTACAACACCTGAGAACATTATGTATACTAACTTCTTCAAACAACACCATGAAATATCAGGCTTCATTCAAAACTGCCATGAACAAACAGCCAGATAATTAAGAAAGCAGCAGACAGGAAGAGAAATGTGTCCCTGTGAAATATGCTCCTATCTCAATTTTGAAATCAGCTTTAGGTAAACGTATTCATCTCCTATCCAAAGGGGGAACACAACTAACCAAATGACTTCAGGGATCTACGGGTGATTTCCAAGGAGACAAACTCAGACGGATAGATTACAGGCGCCACAGGCTACCTGCCCAGCACACGACAGCTGAGGATGCGGTGCACCCTTCCTTTCCTTTGGACACTGCAGCCCAAAGGTGCAGCAGTTTTGAGCGGCGATGCTACTTCTGACAACCAGCATCACCGAAGGGAGAGACCAGGGTACTAGGAAGCTTCCGCACGCGCCAACCCCGTCACAGGGGCGCTCGGCTGTGGGCCCAAAGCGAAGCAGAAGACCCGAGTGGGCCCGGCGCTCCCAAGGTCTGGTGCCGGCTCCTCAGCCTGCCCCCTCGGACGTGCCGGGCGTCCGGGGACCTCCCCAAGGACTCCTCGCCCCTGCCCTACTCTCCCACGCGAGGTCATGACGTGGGCCTCTCCAAACCCCTTGCTGAAAGGGCTCCCAGCAGGGAACGCGCAGGGATGCGAGGCCGGGCACGCGAGCAGGGGCGCGGAGGGCCAGGGGGGACACTGGGGAAGAGCACTCCTGAGGGCTGGCGCCTCGGGGAAGGCGAGGGCCTGGGGGCGACCTGCGGGCCAAGAGAGAGGAAAAGGTTTGGAGAAGGGACAGAGGATACCGGGGGATGAGGGCCAGGTGGAGGTGCCCCTGCAGACAGCTAACAAGAGGAGGTGGTGGAGGCTTCGGGGCTTCCTGCGGGCCGCACCTGGAGGCCAGGTGAGGGGGCCCGCCCCGCTCCCTGCGCGGTGTCTCACCTGCCCAGCGCCCGCTTCATGCCCGCGTCGGCTGCGCAGCGCGGCTCGGCCGGCCCCTTGCCCGCCAGGCGTAGGTTCTGCTTCAGGCGGCAGTCGGCGTCCAGCGCCGCGGCGGCCGAGCCGGAGGAGGGCGAGTCCGAGACGGCGCAGCGCTCATGCTCCAAAGTGACGGGCTCGGTCCGCTTCCTCATCCCGCAGCCGACAGGGCCGGCCGCCGACCGCGCCCGCTGGCTTCGCCCGCCCGCCCGCCTGCGCCGCAGTCGCCGTATCTCACAACCGCCACGGCCACCGCGCGGAGCCGGGAGCACGGAGCCGGCAGCTCCTCACATCCCAGCCCCAGGCCGCGGCGCCCGCTACGGACCAGAGCGGGGGCCGGTCAGCCGCGCAGGCCAATCAGCGCTGGGCTCCCGCCCCGGCCCCGCCCCCGGCCGCCTCCCGCAGGCTCTGAGGGAGCTCGCCCTGAGCCGCAGGCGCCGGCGGGCAGCCATCTTGGAGGAGGGCAAGCGAAGCCGCCGCCGCGCGGCAGCCGCAGAGCAGGGCCGGGCAGTGGGTCTGGCTGCGCTTGGGCCTGCGGGGCCTGCGGGGTTGGGGACTGCGCTTGTCAGAGTGCTCAGTGTCGTGAGCACACGCGGCCGCTTCGCGTCCCACTTGAGTGGCCCGAAGGGTGAGAACACGGGAAGGCCACAAAGGGGCCTCCCAGCGAGCCAGAGCCGCAGCGCAGAACCGGCTCGCTCCACTCCCAGCGGGGGCGTCAGGCTCTCCTCACACGGAAAACCTCAGCAGGGTTCATAGAACGCAACGAAAAAGATAGCAAATCACGTTTAAAGATTTATAACTTTCCCCACAAGGACTGCACTTAAAAAAACGGCTTTCAGCCAGTTAACTTTTAATTAGAAACAAATGTATAGGTATTTAATTTTTTTTTGTCCGAACATATGAAAAGTGAACTGTGGAAACAATTTACTTTATAAAAACCTGCATTAGATTTTAGGTTTCTATAAAGCAGTTATCACCTTATCACCAATATATTTGTCATCGATATATCTATATCTGTGTATTGTTGTTTTCCTACACTGGAATGTGGATTCTGAGGGAAATGACTATTTTGCTGCTTTATCTTCCAGTGTCTCTAGATCAATATCTGGCTCATAGTAGGCACTTCATAAATACTTGCAGAAAATGAATTATCACAACTCCTCAGAGGTGGTGCTCTTGTGCCCATTTTACAGGTAAGGAAGTGAGTCTGAGGGACATTAAGGAACTTTGCATCTGGGCTGAAATTAAGGAGGTTTTGGCTGAAGAAGGTTACGGATTCTGGTCTTTGAATCATGATCCTGCAGCATGGTCCAATAAAAAACACTAGCTAAATTATTACTTGCTGTAGAGATGAAAAGGAAATACCACTCAACATTTCTCAGATAACATATCTACTGTATCTGTACTCGCAAAAGAGCAACGTACTTTCTAGTGTTAGCTAGAATGAATCCAACATTGCTTTTTAGAATTTAATATTGCTTTTTAAAAAACAGCCGAATAAAACAAATTGTTTCTATAGCAGTGATTCCCATGTTTGATTCTGTAAGGCTGGTGGCAGGCCCCTCCCTTCCCTAGATCAAAAAGAAAAGGCTCACCAGACCAGACCAGCCAAGGACAAAACTGCCAGGTCCAGCAGAGGAACCACACCCAGAAGTCCACCAGGATAAGAACATTTCCTCTCCTGGATTCCACAAATACCTCCAGCCCCTCCTATTTCTAAATGACCACCCAAGATCACAATGGAAAATCCCCAGCTCTTCCCACTACAAGTCCCTAGCCCCACCCAAAGGGTATAAAAGGCCTCAGCCCCTTCAAACTGCGGTGACTTCTGGGGACCCCCTCTCTTGGGGCCCCAGAACCTCCTCCAGGAGTGTATAATAAAGCCACGTGGTCTGGCCCCACTCTTTCTTTCTGTCTTTTCTTTTCGCTGTCTCCCAAAAACCTTACAGATTCTATATGGTTAGGAAATTTTCCATAGTCATTTAGGCAAGAACATGCCTAGTGAATTCATGTTAATCTAGAATAAATATTACAAATGTTTTTAAATGACTTTTCAAGTCAAAGGGTGGCACTGTGGAGTTGGAAAGCCTAAGTACAGGGTCTAATCACTTTAGACCTGTGTGACCTTGGGCAAGTTACCTAACTTCTGTTTCTTTATCAGTAGTGGGTTTTAATAATCACCTTTAGGGATAAATTGTGAGTTAAATGAAATATATGTTGCAGTCACTACCATACAGGAGGTACCAAATAAAAGATGGTTTCCCTTTAATATCAAGCAAACAATCTGCGCTGCAAAACTAAAACGAAACGCTGCGTCATAACAACAATGCACATCAAGACTCTGGGCCTTCCCTCCTAACCTCAAAGTGCCCCTCTGCAGCTGAACGAAAATGAATGAATCACAAAGAAAAAAGGAAGCTGCGGGCGTGCATTTATCCCCAACTGTACAGAGCGCAGTCGCTTGGGCGGCCACACGGAACTCGAACCGATATCTCTGCTAGGGGCTGTCTGCCCAGCGAGGAGGGACCTTTCCCGGGAAACATCCCTCTCCCCCCGCCCCTCTAATGCTGAGGCCGCGCTGCGGATGTAATTGTCTCTTTTCGGCAACCGTAGCCCGCGATACCGGCAGCGTGTTCCTATTGGTTAGGCCTGTTTGGCGCCAAAGCGCGGAGCCGGTGGCCGAGGCGAGCCGCTGCAGTCACAGGACGGAGAGCCGTAGGAGCGCGGTGGCTAAGAGCCCCGTGACGGTTTCGTCGTAAGAGCCAGCGGTTGGCGAGGCCTCAGGAGCAAGACGGCGGTGCCATGTTCTGCGAAAAGGCCATGGAATTGGTCCGCGAGCTGCACCGCGCGCCCGAAGGGCAGCTGCCCGCCTTCAATGTGAGGGGGCGGGGTAGACGGATGCAGGTTGTTGAGAGGGGAGGGCTGGAGGAGCGGAGTTTTAGGGGAGGGTCTGGGGGCGTGGGCGGGCATGGGGGAGGGATGGCCTCCCTTGCCGGGGTTACTTTCGTACTTTCTCAGCTCCGAGATCCAGAATAAAAATTCTGGAACGCGGCAAACAAAATATGGGAGGGAATAAGAAGCATTCATGCTTATATCACCCAGCGATTTGGTGAATTTTCTGTGTGTAGAGTCTTGTTTCTTTGTTTAACCATTTATTGGTTGCCTGATAATTAGCATTTATTGCTCACTCGGGCAACGATGTGTGGCGATTAAAAGCCAGGCCTCTGGAACCAGACTGGGATTCTGGCTCTGTACTGGGACTTTGAGGCAGTTACTCAAGCTTTCTGTGTTCTTAGTTTTCACATATGCAAAAATGGGGGAGAAGGAGGAGGATAATAGCACTCACCACATGGAGTGGCGAGGCTAAGTGAATGTATGTAAGGGTCTGTGAACAATGACATATAGCAAGGGCTGAGTCAGTGTTAGCTGTTAATGTTATTTCTGCTGCTGCTGCTACTATTTTAATTATTATTTTTGTATTACTGCTACCCTAGACAGGGTGCTAAGCAATTGACCTACATTATCTCCTGTCTTTATAGTAACCCTTTGAGTTTTAAACCATTGTTTTCCATTTTTTCCAGCTATGTACACATAGGTTTGGGGAAATTTAAGTATCTTCCCTAAGATGACACAGCCAGTAAGAAGTAAAGCTAGGATTTGAACCCTGGCACTCTAGCTCCAGAGCCTGCACTCTATTTATTTATTTTTATTTTATTGAGACAGAGTCTCACTTTGTTGCCCAGGCTAGTGTGAGTGCCGTGGCATCAGCCTAGCTCACAGCAACCTCAAACTCCTGGGCTCAAGCAATCCTCATGCCTCAGCCTCCCGATAGCTGGGACTACAGGCATGCACCACCATGCCTGGCTAATTTTTTCTACATATATATTAGTTGGCCAATTAATTCTGTCTATTTATAGTAGAGACGGGGTCTGACTCTTGCTCAGGCTTGAACTCCTTACCTCGAGCAATCCGCCCGCTTCGGCCTCCCGAAGGATTACAGGCTAGGATTACAGGCGTGAGCCACCGTGCTGGGCCCAGAGCCTGCACTCTAAATTCTGTATTTCACTACTGTTATAGAGCAGCCACTGTTTGGTTGCCAGAACACATTCTGTTGGGAGACAGGTAATAGAGTGCAGCGTGCTAAATGATACCAAAGAGATAAAGACACAAAGGAGAAACACCAGCATGAGCTGAGGTCAAGAAGGGTATGTTTGAGCCTTATCATCCTCAGAAATGAAGTCACTACTCTGAGAAGAGAGTGAAGCATCCCAGCCAAAAGATGCCACAGCACAAAGATACATTGAAAGGGTGGAAAGGGTGATCAACAGGATGTATGGGGAGGCTATGAAGGTGGCTCGCAGCTCAGAAGAGTTTGATATTCACTCTTAAGGCATTTTGGAAGCTTACACGGGGTGGGGGAGTGATAGTGTAATTTTTTGTGTTTTAAGGATAACTATGGCAGCAATATGGGGAATGGATTGAAGAGAAGAAAGAACGAGGATGGGATATGGCCAGTGGGTAGTTGATAGACTAGATGAAAGATGTGTGTGGCCCATACTGCATCAGATTAGTGGCACTGAAATCAGTGTCTGTGCTTTAGAGACATGTGACAAACAACTTGTGACTTTTCAGACAGGAGATGGGTGGGTAATGAATGAGAGAGGAGTTGCGTCCTGGGAGGATTCTCAGGTAACTGAGTAAACGTCAGACTTCAGGAAGAGGTGAGTTTTGTTTTAAACATTAGAGAGCACCTAGTCTGGCAGTTAGGTTATTTTACATATGAGGAGACTGAGCCAAGAGAAATTATGGATCAAGTTAAGGAACTTGTCTGAATTTACAGCATATTGGAGGCAGAGGCTCAACTTGAACACAGGTTTTCTGGATTCTAATCTGTTCTTTCAACTTCAAAACAGTTACTGTATTTAAAATGTTACAAGACAACAAGTGTGAAGCTCAGTAGAGATGCTGGAATGTAGGGGTTTCTGAGCTGTAAAATGTAGCTCCATGCTGGAGTCGGAGAACTAAGAACTTTAGAAGTCATCATACCTATGAGGTAACAGGCCCAAAGAGGCAGAGAGACTTATCCAAACAGGTGCTGGCCAAGATAGATTCAGAATCTGCCTCTGACTCTTGGTCTGACTCTCTTTTTCACTCCAATTTTAAGACAAGTGCTGGTTTACAATTTTGGGGGGCTGGGTAGGTCTTAGAAATTATAAAATCACTCTCTTTTCTAGGTCTTAGTTTGTCTTACTAGTGCCTTATACTGACAAACTTACCTGCTAGTCAGGTGACTCAGCAGCTTGACAGACTCAGCTTACAAAGGTGGGCCTCTCTGTCTCAACTGAGTAGTGAAGGTGGAAGGTGGATCTGAGAGGCCCAGAGCTAGCACAGGCTTTGGAGAATCATTCTTGGAGGGAGGCAGGGAGCATGATAACGGTGGGTTTAGAGCAGGGGCTCTGCCTTGTTGCTTCCAGAATCCTACATTGTAAGATGCTGTGTTGAGCAAATTGAAAAGTGATTACCCCCTTTCTATATGCAGAACTGGTAAATATTTTTTAATTAAAAAGTGCATTTAGAGAAAATTATATTGGGCTCTCAGGGGCTTACATCCTGAGGTGGGGGCATAGAATAAATATTCCCACTATAGACAAAAATCTGAATTTGGCTTTTATATACCTGCAGATGTTAATTGCACAAGAGTTTCAACTATTCCTTAAAATAATATTTGCTGATGAAAGGAATATTTAACTGAATTCTAATAAAGCAGATCTTTCTATGGTATTTTTAAACTAGATGATGAAAGGGAAGATAGAATTCATGCTTACATTTTTCATCAGGAATTCTCTCTTTTGAGCAGTGTTAAATAGTTGATTTTGTATATGTGCCAGTAGTATATACCAAAGCATTTTTGCTAATACATATATTTTGGCCTAAAAATAAATTGGGAAAAGTAGATGGGATCACTTCTCTTTAGATTGTTGGCAGATCTGTTGTGCCACATTTAAGAATTTCAGAATTCTAATGTTTTATCTTTCCAAGGGAAAATTTGCACTACAGTGGATAGTAGAAAAACTCCATTCGACTTACTGTTTTTACAGTACAAACTCAAAACACTATTTCTGGCCAAGCATGGTGGCTCATGCCTATAATCCTAGCACTCTGGGAGGCCAAGGCAGGAGGATTGCTCAAGGTCAGGAGTTCAAAACCAGCTCTTGCTCAGGCTGAGCAAGAGCCAGACCCCGTCTCTACTAAAAAATAGAAAGAAATTAATTGGCCAACTAAAAATATATAGAAACAATTAGCCAGGCATGGTGGCACATGCCTGTAGCCCCAGCTACTCGGGAGGCTGAGGCAGAAGGATGGCTTGAGCTCAGGAGTTTGAGGTTGCTATGAGCTAGGCTGATGCCAAGGCACTCTACCCTGGGCAATAGAGTGAGACTCTGTCTCAAAAAAAAAAAAAAAACACTATTCCTTTTTTTCTTGGTATTAACCTGTTAAGACCATTTTTCAGTATGTAATAAATTATCTACATATTTTTGTTATGCCTTATTACTTCTGTAGGCCTGTTGACTTTTTGTCAAAAAGTTTATTGAGGTATAATTTACATGCAACAAAATATACATTTTAATAAGTTTTGGAATTTTGACAATGTATGTATCTTTATAACCACCACCCTGGTCAAGATTTCTGTAACCCCAGGGGTTCCCTTGTCCTACTTTGTAGCCACCTCCCAGCTGTAGCCTTACACAACCACAAATTTGCTTTCTCTGTAGTCTCTGACTACAGATTATATTTGTCTTTTTTACATATTGTTGGATTCAGTGTGCCAGGAGTTGGCAAACTTCTGTAAAGGGCCAGATGGAATCATAGCATATGTACTCTTATGTCTGGCTTCTTTTGCTTAGTATAACATATTTGAGATTATTCTTACTCAGTATGTTGTCAGTAGTTCATTCCTTTTTGTTGTGCTTTTTTCCTTTTCCTTTTTTTTTTTCTCTGAGACAGGGTCTTGCTCTGTTACCCAAGCTGAAGTGCAGTGGCACCATTATAGCTCACTGCAACCTCAAGTTCATGGGCAAAGCAATCCTGCCTCAGCCTCCCAAGTAGGACACATCACCATGGCTGGCTAATTTTTAATTTTTTATACAGATAGGGTCGCACTGTGTTGCCCAGGCAGGTGTTGAACTCCTGGCCTCAAGTGATCCTACCACCTCAGCTTCCAAAAGTGCTGAGATTACAGGCATGAGCCTCTGCATCTAGCCTCCTTGTTTTTTTTTTACTGTAGTAAAATATACATAGTGTAAAGTTTACCATATCAACTATTTTTCTATGTATACTTCAATGGTATTAATTATATTCACATTGTCGTATGACCATCACTCCTATCTATTTCCAAAATTTTCGATCACTTTAAACAGAAATTCTCATGATTAAGCAATGATTCCCCCTTCCTTGCTCCCAGCTCCTGGTAAGCAGCTCCTGGTAATGTCTACTTTTTGTCTCTATGGATTTGCCTATGCTAGATATTTCGGATACATGGAATTATATAATAGTTATCCTTTTGTGTCCAACATCTTTCACTCAGCATAATATTTTCAAGGTTCATCCATGTTATAGCATGTATCAGTATTCCATACTTTTTGTGGTTGAATGATATTCCACTGAATGGATATACCACATTTGGTTTATCCATCCATCAGTTGATGGACATTTGGGTTGTTTCCACATTTTAACTATTATGAATAATGCTGCTAAAAACATTTGTGTACAAGTATTTGAATAATGTATGTTTTCATTTTTCTTGAGTATATACCTAAGAGTGGAATTACTGTATCATATGGTAATTCTATGTTCAACTTTTTGAGGAACATCAGGTTTTTTTCCATAGGGACCTACTATTACATTCCCACCAGTAACATACCAGGGGTCCAATTTCTCCATATCCCTGCCAACAGTTGTTATTGTAACCACCCTAACAGGGTATGAAAGAACTATTGCTTTTGGATAATATAAATCAAAGATAAATACAGTATAGTATGGGTAGAATATTGCCACAGAATTGGTGGGGGAAATTTTTTTTTTTTTTTTTGAGACATAATCTCACTTTGTTGCCCAGGCTAGAGTGAGTGCCGTGGCGTCAGCCTAGCTCATAGCAACCTCAAACTCCTGAGCTCAAGCAATCCTTCTGCCTCAGCCTCCCTAGTCCCTAGCTGGGACTACAGGCATGCGCCACCATGCCCGGCTAATTTTTTTCCATATATATTAGTTGGCCAATTAATTTCTTTCTATTTATAGTAGAGATGGGGTCTCGCTCTTGCTCAGGCTGGTTTTGAACTCCTGAGCTTGAGCAATCCACCCGCCTCGGCCTCCCAGAGTGCTAGGATTACAGGCGTGAGCCACCGCGCCCCTGCCATGGTGGGGGAAATTAATAAATATGTACCAATATTTGTATGTTCTAGGAGGACGGACTCAGACAAGTTCTGGAGGAGATGAAAGCTTTATACGAACAAAACCAGTCTGATGTGTAAGTTTGATAAGATTAATATTCTAAAACAATTTAAGAAGTAATATGCTGAAATCAGATAACCTTGCATTGGGATTTCTAAAATTTTCTATGAGCCTGGTCATACTCTAGCTATACAAAGTAGCGCAGGACTAAGAGGGATTTTTGCTGATCACTGCTTAATAAATATTTGTTTTTTGACTGATATGACTTGAAAGGAGTTAAGGTAGACCTAAAAGAAATGACATACTCTAAAATAAAACAAAAGTAAAAACCCCAACAAAGTGAAATACATAGTTCCCACTGTTTATTTTCATTAACAGTTTGTTAAAGAGAGATTGGGCAATTTGTAAACTTAGCAGGAGCTGCAGTGGTTTCTGATAGCCTGAGTGGAGTTCACTGAGAACTAGTGCTACAAAAGGTGACAGTATAGTAGGTCCAGAGAGGGCTCTAGATTTATAACTGTTTCAAGCTGACCATGATAGTTGGCACAGGGGAGAATGTAGGCTGTGGGACAAAGTCCATAGGTTCCTGTGACTTGGTGAAGAGTAAGACACAAAAGAGAACCAAGTACCGGTGATTTGGTGAAGAGTAATACACAAAAGGGAACCAAGTACTGGGTCAAAGTTGAGATATTCATGTTTCAGCCTAGAGAGAAGTCTATCTCTGTGACATGTACTTTCTTCTTTGGCCTCGTCAGCTGCAATGTTTTAATACGTTATTTGGATGTAGAAATCAAGAGCATGCAGTAAGATTTGTAGGACACACAAAGTGATAGAAGAATTTTCCAACTGTTGCTTTTAAGGATACATACAGAAAAGTCTTTACAGGTGGAATGAGGAACTGAACCTAAACAAGTTTGCAGTAAGTATAAGGCAAAGGTAAAGTCCCAAACTCAAGTCTCCAAGCTGTTCATTGATTCATTGAACAAATATGACTAAACAAATTTGTGCTGTTAAGTGGCTCTGGTAGTACAGTGGTAAACAACACAGTCAAGATTCCTGTCACTGTGGCCTTTACAGTCTAGTGCAAAAGACAGATAACAAATACAGATGCACCAAATTAGGATATGTGCTGTGAAGAAAGCAACAAGAGTGCCAGGAGAGAGAAAAATGAATTGAAGATTTAGCTTAGGTTGAGAGATCAGGGAAGTTCTCTCAAAGGAAGAGTCATTTCAGGTGAGGCCTAAAGAAGAGGTGGGTTTCAGTGAGGCAGTAATTGTGGGCAAAGAGCATTTTGGGTGGAGGAAGCGTGTATGCAAAGGCCCTGAGTCATGAAAGAGGATGGGGTACCCAGGAAACTAATAATTAAAAGGCATGTGGCTGAGCTTAGATGTTTAAGTGTGGGGCAGATGGCAGCACAGTTCATGAATTAAAAGATCATCCTGTCCCCACTTAGATAAGTAGGGGAGAGAAAAAGCAACAGACAAACAAAGATCATCCTGGGAGGAGCTGAGCCGAGGGGGATGCTGGTCATCCCAGTGACTGGAGAGGTGACTCAGACTAGGTAAAAAGTGAGCAGAGTAAAGAAGTGTGTTAGAGGTGACCTGACAGGCCTTAGTCCAGCAAAGGAATAATTTTCCTATATTCCTTGTTTTGTACAGTTTGCAAATTCATGATCCAAAATTCTGTCCCCCACCCTCATAGTTTCTTCCTGGGGAGGTTATTGTTTCATTTCTGGTTAAAATTATTTGTGAAAAGAAATCTTTTCCTTCTTAATTACTCATATATAAATGTGAATCTTTTTAGAAAGCCCTCTTAATAAAGTACTCTCTTAGGTTGAGTGTATTTATTTGTGCTATTTCCTTATAATCCAGAGCACATTGTAAACACTGTGGGGAATAAGTCAGACTTTCATAGGGTGGCAGAAGTGCATAGAACAGATCTAGAAAACATGATAGGATCAGACACGTATTTTGCCTGTATCATCAGGGCCTTGTGTGGAGTAGGCACTGCGTGAATGAATCCTTTTCATATTCATCTAGTTTCTTTTAAAATTCCAAAATAGATTCTTATTTATTCTGTACATTTGCTTTTAAAATGTGATACTTATTCTAGTATCTAGAGATATGTACTTTTTATAGGGTAAAACCAAAGTTTTCTCCCTCTCTGTATAATACTGAAGCACAGTAATACACTTAGTTGACGATAAACAAATATTTGTTAGATGAATGAAAGACTATTTTTACCTCATTTTAACTCTCTTTATTATGAGGATTTGAAAGTACCACTGAAAGACTAGTACTACCTAGAATAACAACATGACAGAAGACCATAATCTCATGAACCAAAATGTTAGGTTTGTCTCTTAGCATGATAAGGGAATTCCAAAAACTGAGTAAACACAACATTTGTCATTTGGAAATTATAATAGAGATTAAATCAGTGTACAGAAATGTCAAGTACCAAATGACTAAATGGAATGTATCTTAGATAGCATGATCTTAGGCAAGTTACTTAGCTTTTGGCTTTTTATCTTTTAACATATGTAAGTAGTTACTAACTTAGGTTAACTGCTAATCACAAATGGATAAAAACAAGCATGTAAATCAGTTGTTAGTTTCTTCAGAAATTTTATTTATTCCGAAATATATGTATTTTCTTCTTTAAATGTTTTTTATCAGGAATGAAGCAAAGTCAGGTGGACGAAGTGATTTGATACCAACCATCAAATTTCGACACTGTTCTTTGTTAAGAAATCGACGCTGCACTGTAGCATACCTGTAAGCTTCTCAGTTTTTGCTTGTGGTGGCAGAAAACCCTGGAGGGTTTTACATGTGTTAACCATTTCTTATGGATAGCAGGAAATCTTAGATTTGTCTCTCTTTATAATCATTCCAAATTTTTCTTTCTTCCATTTTTAAAACTTTTTATTATGAAAAATTGCAACATTTATAAAATGTTGGGAATAGGGGGAATAATATTCTAATGAACCCCCATGGAGCTATCATATAGGTTTAATGACTTTTATTGTTTTACCATATTTTCTTCATTGTGTCTTATTTGTTCATGCCATACTATTTTAAAGCATCATGGCACTGCACCACTGCATTCGGTAGTGTTTTTAGTATTTTTCTTATTTCTGTAAGAAATAGGACCTTCTCCCCCAGGGCCCTGGTGCTTCCGTCACACCTGGAGGAGGGGACAGTACCTTCAGGCCTGTTCTCCAGTGTGTGCTCACAGCCCCCTTATCTCTCACAGCTGGTTGTTTGCCTCAGGAGCCAAGTAAAGGCCACACATGACACTTAGGTTCTTTTGAGTCCTGGGTCTCTACTTGCCAGAACCACTTCTGACACCCCTGTTATTCTTATGCCACTAATACCTTCTCAGTGTCCTAGGTATGACCGGTTGCTTCGGATCAGAGCGCTCAGGTGGGAATATGGCAGCGTCTTGCCGAATGCATTACGATTCCACATGTCTGCTGAAGAAGTAAGTTAGCATTATGGTTCAAGCATATGAATTTGGAAAATGCTGAAGTTCTGGCATTGTTCTAAAATAGTATTTATTGGAATTTCTCTTTTTGTTTTCCACCTCTGTTTTCAGCAGTTTTGGGCTTGAATTTAGTATATAGTATAATAGGAAGTATGTGGTGTGGTGAGGAATAATTCTAAATGCTATATGAAAAGCTCTGTTGTTATTTTACAAAGTAGAGTGTCATTATAATACTGGTGAGTAATCTATGAGTAGGATTAAAAAACTGATTCATTATTTGGGGGTTTTCCATAAAATCGTGTGTGTGTGCACGTGTACACACGTGTACTTTCCAAGTCAACATTGCAAATTCATATTTATGTATTTATTTATTTATGTTTTGTTTTGTTTTTTTGAGACAGAGTCTCACTTTGTTGCCCCAGCTAGAGTGCCGTGGCATCAGCCTAGCTCACAGCAACCTCAAACTCCTGGGCTCAAACAATCCTTCTGCCTCAGCCTCCCGAGTAGCTAGGACTACAGGCATGTGCCACCATGCTTGGCTAATTTTTTCTCTATATTTTTAGTTAGCCAATTACTTTCTTTCTATTTTTAGTAGAGACGAGGTCTCTCTCTTGCTCAGGCGGGTTTTGAACTCCTGACCTTGAGCGATCCACCCGCCTCAGCCTCCCAGAGTGCTAGGATTATAGGCGTGAGCCGCCATGCCCGGCCTCAAATTCATATTTATAATAAAAGTCTTGATTTGTCTAGTCATTGAGGCACAGAGCTAGCCCAGTATTTAAGGACATAGGATTGAAGTCCAGCAGACTTGGATTCAAATTCTAGTTCTCCACTGTCTAATCTTGAGCAAGTAACTTGACCTCTCTCTATGCCTAAATTTCCTCATTTACAAAATGAGGATCATAGTACCTACAGGTTGCAGGTTTTAATGACTTCTGACATTACCTGCAGTTAGGCCAGACATCACAGGTTAAGTGCTTAGTCTTCCACAAGCTTGCCCTCACTTGAGATGCCAGCCACAAGTTCACTATCACATTAGGTTCAGTAATTCACTAGAATGACTCATAGAACTCAGGAAATCACTATACTTAACATTACAGTTTTATTACAGCAAAAAAGATATAAATGAGAGCCAGCCAAATGAAGAGACTCATAGGGTAAGGTCTGGGAGGGTCCCGAACTTGGAAGCTTCCAATATCCTTTCCCTGAGGGATCAGGATGCATCACTGTCCTGGCACATTGTGTGTAACTGCACACAGAGGATTGTCAGCCAGGGAAGCTCACACGTCCTTGGCTGTCCAGAGTGTGTGTTGGAGTTTCATTACATAGACTGATTGAATCTTGGTCCTATGATTGAGCCCAATTCCCACCCCTCCCTGGAGATCACACTGATAACAAGGGGTGAAGCCCCATCCTCTCACCACATGGTTGGTCTTTCTGGGGTGGCCAGCCCGGACTCTGAGTCATCTCGTTAGCACAGACTATCAAAGGGTCCAACACGAGTCTCCCCATTAGCACATGTTATCAGAGCCCACCACCAATAACAAGACACTCCTATCACTTGAGAAAGTCCAAGGATTTTAGGAGCCACCTCCCAGGAACGGGACAAAGGCCAGCCAAATTCTCTATTCTACAACATGGTTTTGTTTTTTTTTTTTGAGACAGAGTCTCACTCTGTTGCCCAGGCTAGAGTGCCGTGGCGTCAGCCTAGCTCACAGCAACCTCAAACTCCTGGGCTCAAGCGATCCTGCTGCCTCAGCCACCCAAGTTGCTGGGACTACAGGCATGCGCCACCATGCCCAGCTAATTTTTTCTATATACATTAGTTGGCCAATCAATTTCTTTCTATTTATAGTAGAGACGAGGTCTTGCTCTTGCTCAGGCTGGTTTCAAACTCCTGACCTTGAGCAATCAGCCCACCTCGGCCTCCCAGAGTGCTAGGATTACAGGTGTGAGCCACCACACCCTGCCTACAACATAGTTATTACAAGGCTAATCACAGGGTTACTTCAGGTGATCCATACGGAACGAAGCATAGGATGGCACTCAATATTGTCAACAGTTACTATGTTTGGGTACCATAGCACATAGCTTAACAAAGCAAATGTTCCATTCATTTGCCATTAGCTTCTGCACATTTTAAATAGTGGTGATCAATTTGCCAACAGACTTTCATTGGTTTTTTTATTCTTTCCATTTTCTGGATAAATAAATTGAGTAACTTCTATCTCAGATTTGCCAATAGGAAATTGGTAACATGTTAGTACTTCAGTTTATTTCCGTGTTCTTTGTGTTAAAGAAAGATCTACTTAATGTTAATTAAACTTTAGGGTATTTCTTGTGTGTTATGGTGAAATGAACAGACTACTGTGTTGCTTCTCTAATGATAGCTATTAATATCATGATTATTCTCATAAAATATTTCATAATAGATTAGTGTGTTTCTTATACTTTTTTAAATGGCTGCAAACTATACATTTATTCAAGAACATCTATTAGATTTCATATTGGGCATTGTATTTCTGAGGATAGCATGTTTTTGTGATTATTGAATTAGCAAAGTCAGTTCCTATGTTAATAAAATACAACCATATCAACAGCATATAAAAGAATGTTAACAGATCTAGAGATTAAGCTGTTCGAGAGTAGTAAAACCTAAGAGTTTCTTGGAAGAGTTTGTGAATTACTGTGAAACTGGCAAATGACTTCCTTCTATCCCAGTTTTCCTCATCTGTAAAAAGAAATATACTCATCTTCTGTCTCTCAGTAGTAGTGTTTTGGAAAAATTCAAGGATGACAACAAGAAACCAATATAGGTACACTTTTTACCAGGCTGCAGATATCCCTGCCTGAGCAATGGCATGGTACAACTGCATCAACCATTTTGTACTGGTAGCAGAGAATATTCCTGGGTATCCCTGACAACTTACAGACCATCAGGTCTGAGTGTCACCATGAGTGTCTGTTACCCAAGGGTAGTGCTTCAGTGGTGACACTGTGCGCTCGAGTCTACCACCTGGGTTCACATCACCACCTTGCTTATTAACTCTGAGCCCTTTGGTAAATTATCCAATCTCTCAAAGCTTCAATTCTTCATTGATGAAAAGAAAATAATAGTACTTACATCATGGGGTGATTACAAGGAATAAACAAAATAATGCATGTTAAAGTTTTAGCATATTCTTGATCCACAGTAAACACTTTGTATAAATATTAGCTGGGATGATGATCTCAATATTGTTGACTTACAGCAACAATAAAAGTAAAAAGCAGAGCTAATATAAGGTACCAACATGAAACAGAGATGATTGTGCTTTAACAATGTTTATAGAAACCACCATTGGAAGAATAATAAAGTGGGTATATATGTGAAAATCTTCTCAATATCTAATTTCAGAATAGTAAAATCTTTTGTGTTTTCTTTGGCTTTGTTTTTTGATTGCCTAAAGTTTCTATTTAAATATAGAATCTTAGGGTGGGCATGGTGGCTCATTCCTATAATCCCAGCACTTTTCGAGGCCAAGGTGGGAGGATCACTTGAGCCCAGGAGTTTGAGGTTGCAGTGAGCTGTGATCCTGCTGCTATACTCCATCCTGGGCAACAGAGAGAGACCCTGTCTCTAAATATATATATATATGTGTGTGTGTGTATATATATGTATATGCACACACATATAAAATCTTCACGCCACTAACACATGAAAGATAATGAAAATACATGTTTTTCTTTCCTATTAACATTTTTCCATAAATAAATATTTTGTGTCAATATGTTTTGTGGAAGAACCGTGTCTGTTCTACTTTGCCCTTCCATCCACGAAGGGGGGTAATGCCCTCATTGGCCAAGCAGCTTCTGATTTTTCTTCTACTTTGTCTTCTCTTTGGGGTCTATGATACTCTACTACCGTGTTTCCCTGAAAATAAGACAGGGTCTTATGTTTATTTTTCCTCACGAAGACACCCAAGGGCTTATTTTCAGGGGATGTGTTATTCTCTCTGGGCTCAGTAGGAGACTACGTGCTGAAGCTTTTCCCCTATCCGCTGGTGTTTGTAGGGGTGAGAGAGGCCCACAGTGCTGAGTAAAATGGCAGCCACCGCTTTCCTTCTTCCCCCTGGGGACACACAATACCTAAAGTGGAGCGTCCTGCTCCTCACTTCCCTGTGGAGACTTTCCCCTCAAAGCCTCAGCTTGCTGCACGCACAGGATGGCCAGGACCTGATAGGGGGAGCCGACCTGGTTGGTGGGGCTACCCGTACCTTTCCAGTCACCTCTGGGATAGTAGCTGTCACAGTGGGGCAGATGAGAAGGGCTACTTGTCTTTATGCAAGGGGCGCAACGAGATGCATGGGTTGTGCAGATATGCTGCATAGCCACACCCATCACTAGGGCTTATTTTATGAGTAGGTCTTATTTTCGGGGAAACGGTATTCTCAGTGGAGATACTGTAAAAAAGACCAAGGTGGAAACATTTCTCTAAGGAAACTATTTCATCATACTTATCAATACAAAATAATGTTTTTTATCTTTTGTTCTTATAAAATATAGTGCAGTTTTTACCTACCTAGGCATATATCCCTTTTGAGCCCTTTTGAATCTTTCTTGATACCTTAATTTAACCATTTTAATTATAAAATTGAACATATATACAGATACACAGACGCAAATACAGAAAGGTGCACAAAACACAGATGTGCGTCCTAATGGTGTGTCACCGAGGACCTCACACATACCTAACTCTGTTCAAGAAAGAGGATGCGTGGCCAGGACGGTGGCTTACGCCTGTAATCCTAGCACTCTGCAAGGCCGAGGCGGACAGATCGCTCAAGGTCAGGAGTTCAAAACCAGCCTGAGCAAGACGGAGACCCCCATCTCTAAATAGAAAGAAATTAATCGGCCAACTAGAAACATATATCTAAAAAATTAGCCGGGCATGGTGGCGCATGCCTGTAGTCCCAGGTACTCGGGAGGCTGAGGCAGGAGGATTGCTTGAGCCCAGGAGTTTGAGGTTGCTGTGAGCTAGGCTGACGCCATGGCACTCTAACCCAGTCAACAAAGTGAGACTCTGTCTCAAAAAAAGAAAAGAAAGAGGATGTGGCCCCAGAAGCCGTGTCTCTCCTCCTTGTGGCCACTAACCTCCTGACTTTTATAGAGACTAATCACTTTCTTACCATTTAAAACATTATTTTACTACCTAGGCATGCATCTCTAAACACTATAATGTTGCTCATTTTTTGAGCTTTATATAAATAGATTCGGGCAGTAATTCTTTAACAACCAACATCTTTAAACATATTTTTGAGATTCTACCCTATTGATGTGTTAGCTGTAGTTCACTTCTTTTCACTGCTGCATACTATTTTATTCTAGGTAGAGACTACAATTTATTGTTGATATTGTTTTCAGATTTTGACAGTGATGAACAATGCCATTATGAACATTGCTGTAGTATGGTAATTATGCATTTCTAATATGTACCTGGGAGTGGAATTGCCAGCAGAGGGGCCGTATATCCTAATTTATGCCTGTTGTCCCAACATAATTATTAATATTACCTCTTATTCTCAAAAGTGTCCTAGATTCCTTTTTATAATAGATTATATGCACAACATAAAATTTATATGGTTACTGGTGTCCAGGGTTTAAACCTCAATACTATTGACATTTTGGGCCGAATAAATTTTTGTTGAGAGCTGTCCTGAGCATTGTAGGATGTTTAACAGCAGCCCTGAGCTCTACCCACTAGATACCAGCCAGTAGTGCTCCCCTCCCCCAAGTCATAGCAACTGAAGTGTCACCAGATGTTGCCACATGCCCCCTTGGCATTCAGGACCTCTGGGTTTAGTCTGTAGCATATGTGTATGTTCACCTGAAGTCTGCCCAGTGGTTGTCCAGAGGACTGTGTCCTTTCTGTTCCCATCAGCAGTGTATCTGGCTCCTCTTGCTCCACATTTGCACCTGTGCAGTCAGTCTTTAAAGTCAGCCTCTGTGATACCATATAGTGGTATCTCATTTTGATTTTAATTTGCATTTTACTGATTAATGAAACTGAGCGTACTTTTTAGTTTATTGGCCATTTGGATATCCCCTTTTGTGAAATATATATTCAAGTCTCTTACTCATTTTTCCTTAGCATCCAATCATCAACTTATGGACCTTTAGGTCTTTTTCTTATTACTTTGTAGCATTTATATTCCAATTATTTATGTCCTTTGTCAATTATGCATATTGCAGATATTGTCTGCATCTTTGTGGCTTTTGAGTTTGCAATTTCCTAATGGCATTTTATAATAAACAGAAGTTCTGGATTATTATTAATGTGACCAACTTATTAATTTTTGCCTCTGTGGTTAGTTTTTGTTTTTGTTTCTGGTCCAATTGGAGAAATCATTGTCTACCCCAAGGTTATTAAGATATTTTTCTCTGTAAGCTTTTAGGGGCTGTATTTTACCTTTCACAAAGAGATCTCCAGTACTAGGATTGTTTTCTGTTTATACTGTAGGAGTCACATTTCATTTTTGAGAATGGATATTCAGTTGACTTGGCACCATTTATTGAAAAGATCGTCCTTTCTCCATCACTGTTCGCCTGGTGCCACCTTTGTCATAAATTGAGCATCAGTATTTCTATGGATTTTGAATGGGATTTTGGTAGCCTATTTGTCTGTCTTTATACCAATTCCACTGTTGTAATTGCTGTAACTTTATGATATGTCTTTTTCAAGAGTATTTCAACTATTTTTGGCCCTTTGCACTTCCATGTAACTTTTAGACTCAATTTTTCAAGTTCCCTTTTTAAAAGAGTTCAGATTTTGGTTGAGATTGAATTGAATCTATAGATTCGTTGACATTATTACAATATTGAATCATCCAATCTGTGAACATGGTATATCCCTCCATATATTTAGGTCTTCTTTCAGTTTTCTCAACAGTTTTTAAAAAAAATAACAGATTTACTGAGATACAATTCATAGCATGAAGTTTACTTTTAAAATGTATAATTCAGTGGTTTTTAGTATGTTCACAGAGTTATGCATCCATTATGACCATCTTATTCCAGAACATTTTCATCACCCCGAAAAGAAACCTTTTATAATTACTCTCAAGACCAGCCTAGGCAACATAGCGAGATGCAGTCTCTACAAAAAATTTTTTAAAAATTAGCCAGGGCATGACGGTACATGCCTGTAGTCCAAGATACTCTGGAGGCTAAGGTGGGAGGATCACTTGAGCCCAGGAGTTCGAGGTTGCAGTGAGTTATGATTGTGCCACTGCACTCCAGCCTGGGTGACAGAATATGATCCAATCTCAAAAAGGGAAGGAGGGAGGGAGAGAGACAGCATAACTCTAAAATAGTGTCTCCTTCATGTTTCCGTTTCTGTTTGAATGTTCTTAAGGTTTATGATTAAGTATGCTGAAGTGTAAGCCCTGTGAGAGCAGAGATTTTTGTTTACTTTGTTGAATGATTGATCAAGTACCCAGACCAATGCCTAGTCATGGGGTCCTCAAACTTTTTAAACAGGGCCAATTCACTGTCCCTCAGACCATTGGAGGGCCGTTGGAGAGTGCAGCACACATTCTACACATACGCACCGTGGGCCCGAGACGAGTTGGCTGCTAAGCAGGACAGGCGGCAGTGGCAAAAACACCCGGCGGTGCGGGTCACACGTGGCCCGCAGGCTGTAGTTTGAGTACCCCCGGGCCCTAGATCATAGAGGGCAATCAATAATGTTTGTAGTGTAAATGAATGAATGGTGGGAATATTCATGTTGAGATGTGTACTGTTTTTTAAAGGGTGAGTATACAGTTTGTGCAAGTTTTCTGATAACTTTATCAAATGACCAATCTCTTTATGTTGCAGATGGAGTGGTTCAATCATTATAAAAAGTCCCTTGCTACTTATATGAGGTCACTGGGAGGAGATGAAGGTTTGGACATTACACAGGATATGAAGCCTCCAAAAAGCCTATATATTGAAGTATGTATACCTTTTTAAAGTGCATATTAGGTTCTATTATAAAAGAAAAGAAACGTAAACCAACCACGGTGGCTCACGCCTGTAATCCTAGCTGTCTGGGGAGGCTGAGGCGGGTGGATTGCTCAAGGTCAGGAGTTCAAAACCAGCCTGAGCAAGAGCGAGACCCTGTCTCTACTATAAATAGAAAGAAATTAATTGGCCAACTAATATATAAAGAAAAAATTAGCCGGGCATGGTGGCACATGCCTGTAGTCCCAGCTACTCGGGAGGCTGAGGCAGCAGGATTGCTTGAGCCCAGGAGTTTGAGGTTGCTGTGAGCTAGGCTGACGCCATGGCACTCACTCTAGCCTGGGCAACAAAGTGAGACTCTGTCTCAAAAAAAAAAAAAAAAGAAACATAAACCAAAACCAAAAAAGCTACGTATAGGGGGATAACAGAATAGGAGGCAGCTAAAATTTTCTGCATATACCTACTTTAATTTTGACTTCAGAATCATGTAGATGTTTTACTTATTAAACAAAATTAAATAAAAATGGAAAACCAATCACTAAGTTTTGAAAGCAAAATGAAACAAATGAACTTGTCTTTCAAGTTGGTGGATTAGTCAAATAGGAATTATTCTTGTTTTGTTTAGTTTTTAAATTTTTTCACTTTTAAAAATGATAAAATACACATAAATTTATTGTTTTTAAGTGTACAGTTAGTTCAGTGGTGTAAAATACTTTCATAATGTTGTGCAACCATCACCACCATCCATGTCCAGATATTTTTCTCATCTTATAAAACAATAACTCTCCAATTCCCCCTCTTTACAGCTGCTGGTATCCACCATTCTTCTTTCTGTCTCTCTGAATTTTACTACTCTAAGTGGCTCATAAGTGGAGTCATATAGTATTTGTCATTTTTTGGCTGGCTTTTTTCACTTAGCATGATGTCCTCAAGGTTCATCCATATTGTAGCATGTGTCAGAATTTCCTTTTTTTTTTTTATTAATACTAAGTAATATTCCTTTGTGTGGATCTACCACATTTTGCTTATCTGTTCATACGTCAGTGGACATTTGAGGTTGCTTCCATATTCTAGCTTTTGTGATTAATACTGCTGTTGACATGAGTATACATGTACCTCCTTGAGACCCTACTTTCAGTTCTTTTGGATATACACCCAGAGTGGAGTTGCTAGATCATATGGTAATACTATCTTTAAATTTTGAGCAACTGTCATCCTGTTTTCCACAGTAGCTATACCATTTTATGTTCCTGCCAACAGTGCACAGGATTCCACAGGATTCACCCATACTTAGTATTTTGTTTTTTCTTTTTCTTTTTTTAATCATAGCCATCCTAAAGGGTGTCAAATGGTATCTCATTATGGCTTTGACTTGCATTGCCCTACTGATTATTAATAGTTATGTTGAATATCTTTTTATGTGTTTATTATCTATTTATATGTCTTCTTTAGAGAAATGTCTATTCAGGCAGATATTTTGTATGTTATCTTTTTGAAACTCCTGAGACTTAATTTGTAGTCTGATGTGGCCTATCATGGAAAATGTTCTATGTGCACTTCAGAAGAATGTGTATCTGCTGTTGTTGAGTAGAGTGTCTTATATATGTCTGTTACATCTAGTTGGTTTTTTTTGTTAAGTCCTCTGCTTACTTATCTTCTGTCCATTTTCTTCTATCCATTATTGAGAGCGGGATATTAAAGTATTCAACTATTATTGTCTGTTTCTCCCTTCAATTTTGTCAGTTTTTGCTTCACATATTTTCATGAATTTGCATGTTGTCCTTGCACAGCGGCCATGCCAATCTTCTCTGTATCGTCCCCATTTTAGCATATGTGATGCTGAAGCAGGCGCTGCATAAATGTTTATAATTGTTATATTTCCTTGCTGTATTGAACCTTTATTAATATATAATGTCCTTTGTGTCTCGTAAACTTTTTTGATTAGAGTCTATTTTGTCTAATTTTAGTGTTAGGGTAGGAACTTGTACCACAAGCTGAGAAAGAATTCCCAACTCAAAGAGTAGGGTAGTTTTGAAGCAAAAAGTTTATTTTACTTTCCAAGAGAGGAAAGGATATGGCAAGAAAGAAGGAAAGGGAAAAGGAACGGGAGCGGGAGAAAGGAGGAATGCCAGCACCAAGGACAAGTGGCTTGAGGTTTTATTGTTGCAGAATTATAAAAGGAGGTATTTTTTTTGTTTTGTTTTTTTCTTTTCCCTTCTCTGCTACACTGGCTTTATCAGACTACTCAGAATATGTCTGGCTGATGTGGAGGAGTCTGTCCAGTACTCTTTCAGTTCTGTAAAACAAGCTCTTAAAAAAAACAAGTTAAGCCAAAGGTGGTTAAGCAAACAAAGGGCCATTATGTGCAATGATTCCCACCCCCCCCTTTTTTTTAACACTAGATGGCTTACTAACAATGCCGTCCTTTCAATTAGTATAGCCACTCCTGTGCTCTTTTGGCCATTATTTGCATGGAATATATTCTTTCCTTCTTTTGTTAACAAACCCACAAAGGGGGATTTCCCCCAGCTCAGTGGCTTGCCACACAGAAAGCCAGTTACTGAGACAACAAGGATTGTCAAGAAAGAAAGGAAATTTATTGCAGAGGCTGTCAACTGGGAGGTGGAAGGACTGCCTCAAATCTGCCTCCCCAACCGATGAAGTCAGGGGTTCTTCTAGAGGTAAAATGAACAATGCATGAAGTGAGTGAGCATCATTACATGTTTGGGGCAGAGGGCAGGGTATAAGAGCACAGTGAGAAATCATACTGGCACACACATTACATGATCAAAGAATGGCGGATAAGCCCCTCCCGGGGCAGAGATTTTAGTGATATAATGAGCTAGGGGCTAATATTGGTCATCCTTTTGTGCACAGGTGGGATTTGGGGAGTAGGTTGCCTCAGTGTGTCCTTGTGTAAGATCTGTGGTGGAGTGCCACTTACCTTGTCTTCTCTGAACAAACAGGTGGTATAAGGCCTCATCTTGTGGCTGCAAGGAGGTTCCACTGTTTCTAAAAAACAACTCAAAAGGAAATGGATCAATGAAACAGAAAGTTATAAAGTTCTGGTCAGTAAGTCTTACTGGCCTAGGAACTTGAAACATAAGAGAACAACCAAAAGGCGTTTTTGTTTATGGAGTTACACTTTCTCAAATCTTTTTTTTGTTTGTTTGTTTTTTGAGACAGAGTAGACAGAGTCTTGCTTTCTTGCCCAGGCTAGAATGAGTGCCGTGGCGTCAGCCTAGCTCACAGCAACCTCAAACTCCTGGGCTCAAGCAATCCTGCTGCCTTAGCCTCCCGAGTAGCTGGGACTACAGGCATGCGCCACCATGCCCGGCTAATTTTTTCTATATATATTAGTTGGCCAATTAATTTTCTTTGTATTTATAGTAGAGGTGGGGTCTCACTCTTGCTCAGGCTGGTTTCAAACTCCTGACCTCGAGCAATCCGCCCGCCTCGGCCTCGCAGAGTGCTAGGATTACAGGCATGAGCCACCGCGCCCAGCCTGTTATTTTTTTTCCATATGCCTTGTAACTTTTTGTTTCCTGCATTACTGTCTTCTTTTGTATTCAATTTATTTGTTTGAAACATGTAAATTCCTTTCTCATTTCCTTTTGTACATGCAATCATCCCTCAGTATCTGTGGGAAATTGGTTTCAGGACCCCCTGCAGTACTAAAATCCATGTATGCTCAAATAAAATAATGTGGTATACTATTTGCATATAACCTACACATATCTTCCCCTATATTTTAAATCATCTGTAGATTACTTATAATGCCTAATACAAAGTAAATACTATGTAAATAGTTGTTAAGCTGTATTGTTTAGGGAATAATCAGTGGTTGGTTGAACTTATGGATGTGGAACCCATGGATATAGAGGGCCAACTGTGTTCTACAGCTATTTTCTTTGGGGTTACAATGGGGAATATGTTTAACATCCCAAAGTTATAACACTAACTTGAATTTATAACAGCCTAACTTGAGTAACATACAAAAACTCTGATTCTTTCAAGTTCCATCCCTTCTTCTTTCAATTTTTTTTTTTTTTTTTTTTTGAGACAGAGTCTCGCTTTATTGCCCAGGCTAGAGTGAGTGCCGTGGCATCAGCCTAGCTCACAGTAACCTCAAACTCCTGGGCTCGGGCAATCCTCCTGCCTCAGCCTCCCGAGTAGCTGGGACTACAGGCATGTGCCACCATGCCCGGCTAATTTTTTCTATATATATTAGTTGGCCAATTAATTTCTTTGTATTTATAGTAGAGGTGGGGTCTCACTCTTGCTCAGGCTGGTTTCGAACTCCTGACCTCGAGCAATCCACCCGCCTCGGCCTCCCAGAGTGCTAGGATTACAGGCATGAGCCACTGCGCCTGGCCATTCTTTCAGTTATTGATGTCATACAGTTACATCTTCATACATCATGTGCCCCAAAACATAAACTAATACATCTCCTAAATGCATTAATCTCTTAAATTATATAGAAAACAATATATGGAGTTACAGAGTTACAATAATATTTGCTTTTAGACCAATTTATTTTTTTAATGTATTCATCTTTTAAATCATGTTAAAAACAAAAAGTAGAGTTACAAAATGTTATTACAATAATACCAGGTTTTGTAATTGCCCACTGTGTTAGTCCATTTAAGCTGCTACATCAAAAGATCTTAGACTAGGTAATTTCTAAAGAATAGAAATTTATTTCTCACAGTTCTGGAGGCTGGGAAGTACAAGATCAAGGTGCTATAAGGGCAGAGCCCTTATGACCTAAATACCTCCCAAAAATCCCCATGTTCCAGCACTGTTGCATTGGGATTTAAGTTTCCAACACATGAGTTTTGGGGGACCTCTCTCTTCACATGGCTTTGAGTTACTGTTTTATGTCCTTTCATTTCACCATGCAGGACTCCCTTGAGTATTTCTTATAGGGCAGGTCTAGTGGTAATGAGCTCCCTCAGCTTTTGTTTCTCTGGGAATGTCTTAATTTTCCT